AGTGCGGCACATTTAACGTTCAAAGGTGTGTGTGGGCCCGATGCGTGAAGTGGGCGTGGCGGCGCCCTCTTTGCAACTGCAGCACTTGATTGTGCAATAAAACTGAAAGAGCAAGGAAGGGCATTGCAAATTGCTCGACTCCCCGCCCTTGAATTTTCCCGGCCACAGCTGTGGGCCATTCGCCACGCTTTTCCATTTCGATTATTTATTTATGTTCGTGTCGCGATGCGGTTTTTGGATTTTGGGAAGGTGCCAAGTCATCGACGATCGCTCAATTTGCTAAGCATCTGACGCCATATGGCGCCAAGGCAGAGTTCCGCTCTTAATAAGACAATAACAGATTTCTTGTAAATTATGCGAACAAGGGTGGCACCGCGTATGAAAAATGAGTTGTTAAGGTGTCAGAATGGGGCTTGTGCAGGAGTTTTCCAGGGAAGTCTTTCGATTTAATTAAAAGGCACCACCCCAAAAAGGAAGTCCAAAGTAATATCAAAGGAAAACACAACCTGAATGCATAGCCATGGAAAGCTGCATGATGAAAAGCCCAGACATATGTTTGCCCAAGGCGTACACGCAGAAAATTCACTATTTCATATGTAAAAATAATAGTTCTGAGAATGAGGATAAGATAAAGTAACTATATTGGATCGAATTAAGAAATGTTTATGTTAATGATTTTGAAAATATGTAGCACAGTTTTAAAGTATTTATTCTTTTTCAATCTAAATTGTATGAAAACCAAAAACTGTAGTTAATATTTATTGCTTTCATAAAACTGATTAAAAATATATGACGACTTTCTATATTATTTAGAAATCAGCAAAGGTATACTTAAAAATGTGAAGTGGACGTTATATATTATATTTATCTCTGCATTTTATGTAGAATTCATCAAATTTATTTATTATTTAATGTAATATGGCACGTTTGCTTATTTTAAAAGTGCAGTATCAATTTCAGTTAAGTCTCTATGTTTCGCAGGATAACTAATTTTTATACTTATTGACATTTAAGGCGAGATGACGGCGGGGCGAGATGGAAAGGATGCCAAGCAAACTGAATGCCAATGACAAATTTATGTATAAACTTTAGCGCTAAAGTGCCACTAACTAACCTCTTCACACACCCACCCACGGATAAGAGGTGAGTGCAATGGCACGGTGCTTTATGAAGGCATCCAAAGGATCTATGAATAGATGCACCTGAGCCTGCGGATGAGGATGAATGAGGTGGGCCTCACAATGAGCGCTCCCCCGTTGATTGCTATCAAAAGAGTGGCCTTCCGAAAGATAGAGGCCGGAAGAAAGGGTCTCCAAAAGGGGGTTTTAAAGGGGCCTTGTCCCGTGAGTGGGTGCAAAGCTTCTGACAATGTCAATGTGCTGCGGCTGCTGCGCAGCTTTTAATGATTTATTTGAGAAAATTTACACGTGAGCGCCGGAGAAAAGCTGGTTAGGATGGGGTTTCCGCGGAAAACAAACACTAGCACAGACGCCGGCAAACAGAAGATGAATGGAAATGGAACCCGCATGGAACTAGAGTATGGGTGACGAAAAGAGGGGCACCGAATCATATGGTTACGGATGGGGGGAGGGGGGTGGGACATCCTGGTGAATTAAGTTGCCAGACCATGAAATGCTTTGGCACGTACGTAGCGCCAATTCCGTGAAGCTTTTTGCATAAACAAAAGACAGGGGCTGAGGTGAAGCCCAACTCTCTTGCTATCTTTCCTCCTTCATCGCACTTTTTCCCCAGCCCTCGCTCGCTTTTTGTATGTTATTTCTGTTACAATTCGCGGGTTTTTTTCATATTCCTTTAACGATTTATCATGTGAAAATTGTCTGGGGCCAAAGCCACGTTCACTTTGCATATGGCATGCAGAACAGTGGGGCAAAACATTACAAATTGGAACACAGTCCAACAATATCAGCAAATTGAACGACACCAATCGATACATACATACTAAACACCATAAAGATAAAAGCAAAGTCGGTTTCATCTTGAATCCCGAATAAAACTGCAGTTTTAAAACCAATAATATATACCTTTTGTACAATACACCAATACTGCTTGACTTTTTATTATAAGCTTAAAAGATGACAAGACTATTGCATTTCGACATTTTTAAAATAATAAATTTTATTTTATTAGCTGAATGAATTATAATTATCAAAATACCAAATAAAGATTCTGCAAAGAGAACCAGATAAAATTAAAAAAAAATCCTTAAATAATTTATAATTACAGTAATGATTTTGTTTTCCAAATAAAGCTAACAAAGTTCTTAAAATAAATCATAAAACATATTCTGTTTGTTTGCTATCATCAAAAATATATTTTTTTTTTACGAATTATGATATTTTAACCTTATAAATAAGTCAAACTTCACTGCCCTAAAATTTAATTTTAAGCATACATTATTTTTGCAACCCCCCCTTTGACTTGTTTCATTGTGCAAACGTTTACTATTATTGTTTTACCACCTGCGGGTGATTTTTTCTCCCAGAGTCTCGCTCTCCTTTGGCACTACGTAAATTTAGTCACGTTGTTTAAATAATAAACTGCAGTTCACACACACGCCCCCGCAAAAAAACACTAATCCCCAGACGGCATTATGCGAAAGCAAAGAAAAAATATATATTTATCTGGGAGTCGGAATCAGAGACAATGGCCAGAGTTATGACGACAATGTGCATACGTCATGATGGCGGTGGGGGAGTAGCCAAAGGGCTCCATCCCACGGTTTGATTTGGTTTATTGCGCCCGAAACCAACTGAAACTGATTCCACATAGATACAACTCAATCAGCAGAACTCTTTTTTTAGGATGGTATGGGAACAGGTGAAGAGATGGCAGAAGAAAAGAAATAAGCACAATTAATTATCGTTTATCGCTAAACAAATATCTGGGCGTTTTAATTAGCATGAAATATACGAAATCTTCGATAAGATCTGAGTAATTTTATGGGGCCCTCTGGGGGACTTCGTAACCGTTAAACTCGAGTAGCGATATAGATCAAGTGGAAATGCCATCAAAAGTAATTTTGAATTGAGAGATAAAGCACCGTAAGAGCCCGTTGATGGGAAATTAATGGGTGGCAGTGGGTTAGTTAGTGGCGCAGCGGTCGGGGTCACCAGTGTCCACCCCATTTGGGGAAACCCTGACATAGTTGGCATTTCCAGTCGGTGGATTTGCATACGCAGCTCTCCTCCAGGTATGAGCACAACAATTTGTTACATTGTTTTTACCAACTTAGTTGTGGACAAAGAATTATTACGCAGCATAAATTCCAGAGCAATGGGTGGAGGGGATTGGAGGTACTGTAACCTACTTTTCTGCCCGGAGGCAGCAGCAAAAGGGTTACCAAAAATAGCAATCCCAGCCATATAAAGCGTTGAGAAAAAGGATGGGGTAGACCGACCGAGTGCCAGCATCCTCCACACATAAGGCCATAAAATAGTTGTCGCTTGCTGGCTGGCTTCTCTGGCATCGGATAAGCATCTGGCCCCCGCTCTTCGGAGTTGGCCTCTGATTACTTCGTTAAGTTGCATGTTCCTACAAATTGTTTCCAAAGAAAGGCAATGAAAATGAAAATTATTGCCCTTACCCCACTACCAGAAATGTGGGGATCCGTAGACAGTAAAGGGGTTAAAGGTAATCACAACACAACATGAAAATTGTGAAAGGTGCATCTCGCCTCTAGTTTATGTTTTGGATCCCCATGATCCCGATCTAACTCAAAGGTCCAGACTCCTGTCAAAATATATTCCAACTCTTATCGCGACTTTGTCATCGCAGACAAGAGGCACTTGTCTGGGAACTGGGGCTTCATTAGAGAAAGTCCCCTCCTCGGATCCCCCGACTACTAATTTTTAGTAGCTTTGTTTTCGGTTGTATATTTTGTCAAAGCTAATTAGTACGTAAGGGCATTAACAATGCAGCTCCGCCAGTGATGAATATATGACTGAGCCCGGAGAACCCCGAACCGAGTGTGAAATGCATATTTTCGTCTTTCTTTTCGGGTTTCCTCAAGTCATTATGACATTGCCATTAGCATAATACGCGTATTATGCGTATTAATTACAGCGCAGACATTTGCATTTAAACGCCTATTTGTCCCAGGTACCGCGGAGGAAAACACAACGACGATCCCAAGACAGACGGTGGTGGGTCCGAAAACAATCCCCGGTAGCCAAAGCTCGGGCTGTAATTATTGAATTAGAAGACAATAGGCCCTAAAGATGGGAGATGCGTACGCTTCGATAGCTGGAAAGGAGAAAAGACCACCCGAGCGTGGAGAAATATCCAAAGATGATGATGAGGCCAGGACAGGAGAACAAAAAGAGTTATTATGTGGATATTTGCATAAATTTCACGCCCTTGCCGATGAAATCAACCGGAGAGGAAGTGCCAAGGGCTACGACCGTTCTCAGAGTCCAGAAAGACCTTATACGGAAACTGACAATCAACTAATATGACTACATAATAAATTTGGGCGATATGAATCACAACACCTAATTACAAAAAAAACTATACTACCGATTTCATATTTGAAATATTATTTCATCATTTAGTTTTCCAACTATTAAGAAAACACTACTTATATTGTTTTTCCATTTCAATTTATTATTTTTTAATTATTACTACTATTTTTTACCAAAATTCTACGAATCATTTTGTTTCGGTCTTCTAGATTTAAACAGTTCTTATAGAAATTTTATGCCAATTAATTTAAATTAAAATTTTTAATTAAATTTATAAATGACACAAATAGTAAGTGTTTTAATTAAAAAAATAATAATATCTAGAAACAATATCAATAAAAAATGTTAAGTCCTGTATTTATAAATCTTTAAACACATTATATATTTTAACTTTTTTTAAGTTTATGTTTTTATATAAAAGTTTTCGAAGCAAATGGTTACATTTCAGTACCAAAACCTCTAAAAAGTTGTTCTTTTTATATCAATATCACAATCGAAACGCTTAAAAAAGCTTCTTTTTCAACCCAACATGGTGAGGAACTCGCTGCCCAGATGATGCACATCACTGAAGTGCTCCAGCAAGGACTTGGAACACCTTGGATATACCTGATCGCAATCGCTACCAGCTGCTCCCAATCGCTCGGCCTGCAGGTAATCGTTGTCCGAGTGCTCCGACAGGGGATCCACCGAACTAGAGGGTCTGAAAGGGCGGTGAAGAGGGTTAAAATGGAGCCGATCCCACGATCATAAACTCACGTAAGCAGGATGTGAAGCACTTCACCCAGCAAACCATTTCGATCGTCGAAGGGAGCCGCCGCACTTTCACAGATGCTCTTCAGGACACAAACTCTGCCATTTAACTTCATGCGAATGGCCAAAGCCGTAAAAGCCTCGTAGACCGACCAACGATAACTGCCCAAAGCCTGGAGATCCTCCTGCAGGATATTGTCCAAACCTAGTTTTTGTTCAGTCATCTGCATGACCTTATCAAAGATTGTGGCATTCTCTAGTAGCCTTCCTTCAGAGATTTCATGCACATCCTTGGTCCTTAACTGCTTGGGGGAGTATGGTAAGTAATATTGGGCCTTTAAAACATAACCCGTAACCACCGATTCCACTTTGAGTTCATCCACGGGTATACCAAAACCTGCGATCATCTGGAGAATAAATAGGTAAAGATTTTTCAAGTTTAGTTATTACATTTATTCAAAGTTAAAATTAAAGTTAAAGCTTCATACAAAATTTAAAAAATTGTGAAGTTCTTTAAAAAGTTTACAAATAACTAAAGATAAATTGTAATGTAGAATATAATTAAGTAAGCTTAACTTATGTTTACTTACCTGCAATCGAGTAGGATTGGCTCTAGGATAAATTAAAGGTAGCCATCGGGCTTTTCGCACTAAAATATCACTGTTACTATGATAATTCTGAGTTGAATTAAAAGCGTTAATTTCAAAAACATAAACACAACAAATAACTAAAACTGATGATGGTAAAACGTGCATGATAAAGTCCTTAAAAATCTATTCAATAAACAATAACCTTTCGGTTCAAAAGAAGACTGCTGACTAAATTAGGAAACGATAAAATGATTTCACTTTAATAACGTACCGAATGAAACTTCTTACTTTCTTCGATTAGGAAACCGAAAGTGTCATTAGCTGCAGGCAATATGGCACATTTTAGTCACGATCAGAATTGGCTCCATTATTTCCACTGCCACTGTGAGCTTTCTGACTAATAGTTCACGTTCTCTCAATTAACACTCGACAATGCAGACCGACTTTTGTTTCTATTATGAAGCCCCGTTTGCCACAAAGAACACTGACCGAAAGTTTTGGTAACATTTTAAGTCTTTCTTTATTGGCTTAGAATAAGATCTTGTCCAGGTTATGATGCAGTTCACTAAAGTGTTGGAGTAGACTAAGTCGACACTCCTTGAAGACGCGATCACAACCAGCTCCTGATTGACCCACCTTTTCCGCATAGTAATACTCGTTATCCGCATGTTCTGATAATTTGTCCACTGAAGAGGAGGGTCTGTGTATTGGAGATTATTATTGGGTGATCACTCTTTTAAAGGTTTTTTCTCTCAAACTTACGTTAGTAATATATGCAAGAGATCCGCAAAAAGCCCATTTGTGTAATGGAAGGGCTCCTCGGCCGCCTCGCAGATGCTCTTCAGAACACAAATCCTGCCCTGGTAACCCAGCCGATCGGCCAATCCCTCCAGTCCCTTGTACACTGTCCAGCGATAGCTGCTCAAAACCTTATTGGTCCTGGTCAGCAGCTTCCTGGTGTTCTTGCCCAGTTCATCCACACCCACCAGGAAGTTCTCAAACATGGGTTTCCTCTGCTTTCTGGCTCCTGTGACTCCTGGTGTGGCCACTTGTGTGAGGGGCAGGGCTGTGGGTGTCCTCAGATCATCCGGAGTGGTGGGCAGCCAGTACTCCACCTTTAAGACATACCCAGTGGTCACCGCCTCATAGTTGAGATCCTCCAGCGGAATACCTATGCCGCCAATGAACTGGAAAAGGAATGTAAGAGCTTAGAATTAGGTATTCCCCTTAGCCAATCAAATTTCTTACCATAACACGGGTGGGTGATGTGGTGGGGTATATAAGCCAGGGAATGGGAGCTCTCTTACTCCTCTGATGCTTGGAGAGACTTCCCAGGGTGGCCATCACCTGGTGGAGCAGGCAACTAACCACTATGATGACTATACTATATTTCATTTCTTTGTTTTTTCTTAATCTACGCCCGAACGAATCTCAGTGCGTGTTTATGCCAGCTCAGGCCTTAAGCTACTAATCTATATTCTGTGCGTTCTTTTTCTGGCTCACGAATCTTTCATTTTGATTTCTCAATAAAAAACGGCTCCATCAATCGATTCAAGAAGACTTTCTCGTCCGAGAATGTTACACATTCTAGCAATTAGCACCTTTGGCATAGACAACGGCAATCGGTTGGAGACGTGGTAAAGTGGTAACCGTGTAAATCTTGCATATTCCGGTTTGCTTTTCCAGGCTGCGGCTGTACCGTAAGCCACTTCTCACCCATTTATTAGCGGATTTGCCAATTCTGACGCCCATCGCTTGGGTGCAACATGCAATTTGTACAAAGTGCATTTAGTTACCTTAGAGCTTGGGTTTAGAATGGTCGCCTTTCGCTGGCAGTTTTACTTGGGTGTGGTCTTGGCTTTAGCTTTCGGTCTGACACACTGCTTTCTGGTCTTTCCACGTCAGGGATCCTTTGGTGTAAGTATTGTAAAGGATATTTCTTAAGGGTATAGTAATCTTTAAACTATTTCCAGTTGCTGGCTGCCGTGGCCATTCCACTGGAGCTTGGGCCCAAAAACGTGTACATGGCCTTTAACTTCGAGTCCAATTATGCACTGCCATCCAATGATTCCTACAATCAGTGGATTGATAGAGTAAGTTGGGGTATAAATAAATAAATCAGAATAAATTGAGTAAGTAGGTACTTGACTATTCATGTCTTCATCGTTCTTAGGTTAATCCAATGTTATATCCAAAACTGGCTACATAAATCTTAAGTCAGAAGTTTGTTTTTACTTTTACCAATGATAAATGATTTTCTGAGTATATACTTCTTATTATTTCTTATAACTTGTCTTCTTGGATCCTTCTTTCAGTGGGATCTAGACGATCACTTTATGGGTGTTGGTGGTAATGTCACACCCATAAATGCCCGTCAGGATGCAGGAGATTTCCCAGAGGACGAGGACAATGAAGTAAAGCGTCGTTCGGTGGGATCTCCACCTCCTTTCCGGCGCCATGACTTCTATCGCAGTATTATAAACTTCCTGACCCACTACGGATTCAATGGCTCTGCCTGCCTGCTGCGAACTATCTGCGAGGTCAGCGAGTCGCCCCTGGATGCCCAAAACGGACTGGTTGGCAGCCTGTTTCAGATTCTATTCATGTGAGTCCCCCGCCCCAAAAAAAAAACTCTGTTCTGTCCAAAGGGTCGCCACTAATTATGGCATCCTTTCCCCCGATTTCCATGCAGGCCCACGACGAGTGCCGCGGAGCGGGAACTGCAGCACGTGGATGGACTCTACGAGGCCTCCGATGCGGGCACGCATGGAACGGGCTGCTCCGATTACGTGGCCCACTGCGAACACAGTGCTCTGGACCTGATAACCATTGTGTTCTGAATAATTATGTTGGAGAAAATTTAACACTTTAACTAAGCTAAAACATAGGGCAAAAGATGTTTTTGCAACATTTCAATTCATAAGGGTTTTAAATCTACGTTTAATTATGGCATTATGTTGAGTTATCAGAAAAGAACAACTTTTTACACAATAAATAAACATTTACATTACTTTTAAATTGTGAAATAGGATATAAATTTCGATTTAAAGAAGCCTTTAAAAAGATATTTAAATATATCTTCATGTCTTGTAATATCAAATTCCTAAATTATGATAAATGTTCTAAGGGCGTTCGTCAAAACGAATTATTTATTTGGATATTGAACCTATTTTAGCTAAGACTTTTAGTATTTTATATTTTCATCTTTATATTTAACCGATTCGCATTGAAAGTTTTATTTTACAAATTATATTATATAAGACGACTTAAATCCAAAATAACATAAGCCAGATTTATAGCATACTTAGTATATATTGTATACGGTTCGGGTAAGTTGTTATTGCGTTGTAAGCCACATGCAGTTTTGATATAAAGGTTAAATTGATATTCCACCTCAACAGCTTTAAGTATATCGACATTTTCAAGTCACCTCCTGCTGCGGCGTGAAATGTTTTAATTTCGCTAAAAGAGCTTAAAGACGACGACGCAATGTGGTGGCAACAAAGCAGATGATGCCAAAAAAAAATTAAGAAAACAGGAGTCCTAAGCTGGCCGCATGGATCTGGTTTGGATTTTGGCTTGCTTAGGGGTTTTTCAGATGGGTTTACCTCACGTCGGACATGTGATGATGCCTCTGGCATTATGTTTGCGAGTTCGAGTTCTTTCTTTCGCTTTTTGTTAGCTCTTTGATCGCTTTTTCCGCTTCTTTTGTGCAAATGAAGTCGCCCCTGCTCCTCGTCCTTTGTCTGAGTGTGTTTTGCGGTCTCCTTCTTTTCGGCGGCCTGTCAACAATACCATAGAGGAGTCTCCTTTTCCGTTGTGCTGAGTGTTTTTTGTTTGTTTGTTTGTTATTTCTTTGATTCGATTTGCCGCCTTTAAGGAGCCCCGAAAGAGTCCTGGCGATGGTGAGAGCGAATTACGCCTTCTTTGATTTTGCCAAACCATTGAAAATCATAATTAGAAGACAAATGATTCCTCTGTTCTTCTCGAGATCCCCGAACAATGGCCGGGCATCGAGGCTGAAGTGCTTATGTACGCCACAGTTTGAGAAAGGTTTATGAAAAACACACAGAAACTTGAGTACTAATAAGCTTAGACGATGTGTGGAAAGAGTTGGAGTTTGGGATCGGGGTAGATCCAATCCTAAAAATATATTTGGCAAAGGGATCTTTAATTGTTTGTATAAATACAATTCTTTTATTACCTATCCTTTTTGTCTTTCTTTTTTTTTATTAAACATATTATATTTGCACCATGAAATATATTCCAAGATGTATTTTCATTACATTAACGTTTTACTAAGGTTAATATTGCATAATTTATTTAGGTTTTTAACAAACTTGTTATCTTAGAAATCCTAAGTTAGTTTTGTATATTTTATGTTTTTTTTAGCCTAATCAGCTCCATATTTTTAGTTCAGAAGATCCTTTACAGCCCTCAATAACATATAATATCCTAGACACCCATCTCTAATGACTAAGAATAACATCCATCAACTGTGATCCATCTTTTCCTCCTTAAATATCTCTCCTCTCAAATCTACATTGCTCTTCAAAGACCTCCCTTATATCTCAATTGTGGGATCATAAAAGACAACCATCAAATGTGATCCATCTCCTCTAGATTCCAGTGTTTTTATGACTTTTTCTGATGCTTATTTCGTCACTTCAACATGGGTGAATGTCTAAGTTGTCTCCTTTGATTTACGGCCAGCCTGAGATGTCAATTTATTTTTGTACTCTGTTTTTAAACTTGGCATTGACACTGGCCATATAACATTTTAATGGGGTGCGGGCAGGTGTGTTAAGGAGGTTCTCCCCGCGATCCCGTTTCCTGTTGCGGTTAGCCATGGATACTGCTCTCCCCGGAATTCGTTTGCCTTTGGGGGCTGGTTCAAATTGATTTGTAATTAGTTGCAGTTGCAGTCAACAATGTGATTATGCCGGGTTTTGGCATGGGCCTAACCACAAGGGATACCGCAAGGGAGGAGTGGCAGGAGGATCATCAGGAGCTGGGGGCGGACTTCGATCTAGGGTTACACAGATGTGTGCAGACGCATCCCGAGAAGTGGAACCACTTGAGGTCGGGATATGCATAAATTACGGCCAGGGCACCAACATTATCCTAGGCAATTGACAGCTCCCTTAAGTAAGTCATCTATCCATGACATATGCGGAATGTAGGAGGGCGTTCTAGTGAGTTGTAAACGCATCTGTGGGCAGAATATCTGGATTCTGGATTGTGGACAACCGATCCCCAGCCATGTGTCGGCAACTGTTGAAATCCTATAAAGTATCCATAGCCGTTGACAGTCGTTCTGTGGTGTAAATCATTGTGCTGCAACTGTCAACCATTTTGAGGTTTTCATTTAATAAATTCGAACACTTTGTGTGCTCACGTTTTTTCCACCCACCAGTTGGGTTATTAAATTAGAGTTTAATCCACTTCACTCACGCGTCTGCGGACATTAATTGAATTCATAAATGAGCAGTTTATATGATATTTATAAATTAACTAATTACCGTATCATTTGATTGTTGTTTCTGTGTTTGCTCTTGCGGATTTTTTTTTTACCCCATCAACAATTGGATTAAGTTCATAATGCAAAATGGCATTTAAAATAACGCTTTTAATAATGCCAAAGAGCAAAAAAAAATCTGAAAAACGAAGTTGCAAAATTCCATTTGACCGGTTGGGGATATTCAGTTTATATTAATTAACTTAATGAAATGCTTTTTACGAGGCTTATAAATGTTTATTGCATAAGACGGTTAGTAAAATGGATTTTACACAATGGGCTTATGTGGTGGATTTGTTATTGCTGATCTAGGTTTATTCGGATATTTGAGTTACATAGGATTTACTTATAAATATATATAAAATATACATATTTTACATCCCATACCTTAGTCAAAAAATAAAATTTCTTACACCTGACTGATTGATCTATTTGCTTTCCTAAAAAAAACGATCAGTTTACCGAGCATGAAGACTTCAATTTTTCCGTTCTTATCAAAACCCAAATCTTAATTAAGAACTTCTGAGGGGCAATATCTTAAGAAGTTCTCCCATGAATTTCTAGATTAGTTTCAGCTTGCTGAACCACTGTATCCTAACCACCATATCAAATTGATGGCGACTGTAATAAAAACTGAATCATTAACCGATGGCAAAAGATGTTCCCACAACTTCTTTATCGGGAAACATCAACACCTCAAACGTGCCTTTCCCTATGCTCCGTTTTAATAAGGTTACCTCATCATCATCAGTCATAAACACATTCGGGTCATATGAATAATGTCAAATTATTTTATTGCACCAACCCTGAGGTGGTTGCATTTAAATTTTGATCGATTGCAGGCGAGAGCGGAAACTAGTTTGACATTAATTGACTGCCAAATATGCACAAGCGCATGAAATTATGGAAAATCCTATTAAAGTCAACCCATCCTAGTCGCAAGTCGCAGCCCTTGGCAAGTTGTGAAAAAATCAACTCGGCCAAAAGTTCATAAATGCTAATGTGCCCCGGAGCCTGACGATGATTGATGGTCGCCTTCACCTCCATTGCCGGAGGAAGAAGTTCCGTTTCCCGCCTCGCAGTTTCCTTTCCTTTCCTTTTTTGGGGGTTTCCCGCCTGCCACAGACTGCGCAAAATTATGCGAAGGATCAATCCTTGATGAACTGTATACATTTCACCTTTGTGCTCTAGGTCCCATTTAAGCCAATTTAATCCCAAGCCGGCTTAGGACATTACGATCTGGGATTAGGCCATGTTGCAACATCTTCTCCCGCGCAGATTTAGTTGTTATGCCAGGGGCAAACATTTGAACGGGATTTGTTTGTAGGCGGTGTTCCCCTAATGATCTTTGCCAAAAAGGAAATCAGATTTTCCAGTTCCTGGGAAAGTAGGGGCTCACCCAAATATCCTTTTGTCTGCCTAGTCTTGGCTGAGTCCTTATTTTAGACCTTATCCTGGCCGCAGTATTTGTCTGATTTATTTTCTAAGAAGCACGTGGCGGGCTTTTTTACGGACAGTGTTGGCTTGATTTAATCAAAGAAAAATTTTTAAAAAAACATAATTGTTAGAAAAGTAAACCAAAATAACGAACAGTTTTTGTTTAAAATTATAATAAATTTATATTTAACTATCTGAAATCCTTATAAGCTATTAGGTTTTCCTGCGTAAATTATAAAGACTTTTACGGACAATACTATAGTCTAGTCTATATTTTAAAATAACTAATTTCATACAAATGAAAAAAAGTACTGCAATTGATTTATTATAGACACGTATTCCATATTTTTATGTTATATTAAATATATTTAAGGTTTCAAATAAATCATGAATTTTGAAGGAAATCTGAATTGTTATAAAACTGCTATACCGGCAACTCTAGGTATGACCAATTGTGCCGAATCCCCCACATTTCTGGAACCCTTCTTGCACTCATTTTGCCCTCTTTTTCCCATATGTCTGTTGGAGTCCGCATCGCATAATTTTTCACTCGCTTGTTTGGTGCGTATCCCAATCCCTTGCTGTCTGTGGTTTTTTCCCTTCATATTTTTTCATATGTGTTCGTGTTGATAAATTTGCTTAGATTATTATCCTGGATCCTGGCGTGGCTGGCTCTGCTTGCTGTTATCTCCCTGTCGTAATTAGTCTCGAGCTTGTTTGCGCCGCATTTACACAAAATGCTTTTCCAGGCGCCGCACGCACTCAGGGAATATGGGGAAAATGGACATGGGAGAGGGGGCTTCAATCCGGACGGACAATAAGGATGGGCCGGGATTGCCGTACAGACAAATTGCTCCGGAATATGAATGAGTGAAATTCTTTTTT